CCATTATCTTGAGGAGTAATAATTATGTTATAAATGGGGCTATCACATATCTTTGGCTATAGAACTAGCCACCACTCCCACAATGACACTTGGGGTTAACTGCTACCACCCTGGTGTACCCTGAAACACTTTGTTGTGGCAATAACAGCAGCATGGCGGGGTGGGGAACCGGGGAAAGCAAGGGCATACTTCACTTTCTCATGTCTCCTCTTAGTTTAATATGGAATCCCCAAAAATGCAATGTCTCTGACTTTTCACCCATGAGTCTTTAATATTTTATTTTTCTTCTTGATCCAGTCAAGGCCTTTTCTGTTAAGTGATCATCTTCTATAATTGTTATAGTTTATTAGCAAATATGTATTAGATGTAGTTAAGATAAACTTAAATTCCAGGAGGTGGCTACATGCCTATTCAGAACATTAAAATATCTGACTCCAGACTCACCTTTTTGATGATTTAGGGCAAATGGTTGAAAATTTTTAGCATATTGCAATGCTTCTCGCTGATTTGTAGTTCCACCCATTAACAGGCTAATAAAATACAGTCTGTGTAGCTTAAATTCCAAGGAGCTGTTTTGGGCTATAAGCATTTCTCGGTTTGATACTGCCCATCTAAAGAAAAAGCAAAAAAGATTTTAACGATAAGAGCATAAGCAAGATGTGTTAAAAAATTGTTTGAAACCTATTATAGTAACATGAAAAAAAGGGTTTGCTCTGCCATCTTGTGGAAATCACTGGTAACATCACTCCCTCGGCCCAGAGACTTTCGTAATGCAAGTAAACATAACAACTACTGCACCTAAAGGGATTTTTCAGCCAGTGAAAAGAAAAAAATATTGTTAGATGACAATTACATATTTAGTAAGGTTTTACGCTACGGCAAGATTCACTCTGATGAGTGCATGATATTGTAGATTTGGAATTGTACAAGGCCACACTTTGAAGCGGGTGTCAGCCATGAGAGTCACTATTCAATTGCCTTGGCCCTAGATCCACTACTCTTCTGTTAAGCTGGCATGTTTGTAAATGAACCACGAGATTCTGAAGAGGAACCATCTATCTTTAAACTTTTGTTAGGTGCAACATTTTGCGCTACTCACTTTGGAATTAAAAACAGTAAACACTGGTATTTACCCTCAAGGTGCTTTCTCAAATAAATCAGGCAAATAAAGCTACATAAACATTACACTGGGCCTAAAAGGTGTGCACAAACATAGTGCTAATGAGAGAAAGAACAATACTTAGTTCTGAATGACCCAAAGTACAGTGACTTAAGCCTCTACAGTACAAACAGTTGGAATACCCAATCTTGAGCTGGGGGACCCAGTTCAGGTGGAGCACTAAAGCAGAAAAGAATATCGGCCAGCTGTTAAATTCAATTTTGCAACCAACTGATAAGAAGCATTACTTTATTTTTCTAAATATATTAAGGTGTAGAAGCTGTTAGTATCATATTCTTTAATCTGACCTTTAGCAGGACAAATATTCACTACCTAACCCAATTCACCAAGGACCACTGGAATCTGAGCTGGGTATGGGTACAAACTTTCTGAGTCACTCTACAAGAGTAAAATGCTTCAAGTTACTCATTCAAATCAGCTGTCGGGAGATGAGACTTTACGGAGCTGCATTTCACTGGATCCTCTCCTTCCCAAAAAGGCCCCACATGCATATGAATATTTATCAGCTTATTGATGCATCCACATCTTAGGGTCAAATCATGAAGCTTCTCTGACCTCAAAATCAGTGGTTTTTAAAAATATGAATTACCTGGGTCTTGGAAATATTTACTTAAATTTAAATAAGCCGTGGATCCTTGCCTGGCACTCAGACGAATGCAGTTGAGTTGCAACACCAAGTCTGATAAATCCGCTGTCACCAATAAGATAATTCCAGCAGCTATCTTTTATTTTTATTCTTTTATTTTATTTTATCTTTTTATCTTTTCTTTTGTGAATGCTCAACACCAATCATCAGTGCCAAAAGCACTGTGCTTTCGGCAGGCTCTGCTCTGTCAGGCACCTTCTTGACCTCCAGATCAAAGGAGTACATTTAAATCAGGTCACTTACTTAAAAGTTTATCCTACCCCCTTTCACTCATTAAAGCATGAGTATGTTTTCCTACTAACTTGGGTCATTGGGAAAGTCATGATGTATTTTTCTATGTTTTTCAATGCAAAAATGCATAATGACTTTCCTGATGACCCAATAGTTAAGAGACAGGAAGCTTGTTTGTTTTTTTCTGTTTCTGATATGAGGTAGATGTGCAAAAGTTTCTAGTCAAAGAAAAGACTTTAATAGAGAGTAACTCTAAGTTTTAATAAATGATGAANAACCGCTGCTTTAGGGTCTGTGATAAAACCGTGCAGGAGTAATTCCAATCAAAGCTGTAGTGCCTGTTGTCTGAGGCCTGGGGGAAACACACCTACGACTGTCGCTACCATGGCAGCAAAACTTGAGTACCTACTATGTGTCCCATATTATTCACGCATACCTATGTTATCTCTATCCTTTAATAGTCCCAAAAGAGAAAGATGGTCTCCATTTTAGAAATGACAAACTACTTAGAGAAGTTACAGAGCTGGCAAGTGACTGCAGCGGATGTTTCAAACCACGGCAAATTCCACGACAGCAGTGGGTGGACACACAGCCCTGGAAGGCCACTGGTGATTGCAGGTGTCACAAGGACACCTGCATATAATATAAAATAGCTATGTACTTACTTTAATTGGTATTAGGAAAATATAACCAGCACAAACCCATGATCTCACAAATATCAATGCTTAGGATAAAACCCAATCAAATCAAACTGACTCACTGCTTTTATACTTTCAAAAAATCATACTATGAGTGGTTTGCCGATGGTACTACAGAACCCACTGCGTGCCTCAACACACCCCACCCTCCCCATTTGTTTTCTTTCATTAGCTTTCACTGCCACTCTAAGTTGCAATTTTAAGAAAACTCCTGCAGTGCCTTCAAAATGTACTCGCTCCCCGCTTGTTATTTAACCATGTCACCATATTCATAAAAGAAGCCTTGTCAAACAGATACGATAATGGTTCCCAGTTAAAAGGCAAGACTGACACTTTAAACCCTAAACATCCATGTTCTTCTAAGCGCAGGAAAGGTAAATAACCAATAGAAAATGGAACTCACAGGTAATTCATCTTTCTGGTTCCAAACTCCGGTGCACTGCCTCTGTTCAATCACAGCTTTAATATTAATTAAAGCTGGCAGCGCCACACAACCTGCTGAGAAACTGGGAGAACAGGAGAGGAAATGTCAGTGTCCTAGAAATACCCACTACTCCAGACTCTGTATGCCACTGGACAGGGCACAGAGCCCTCTGCTTTGCCAAATCTGCACGTGCATGTGTACACACACACACACACACACACACACACACACACACACACACACACACACAGAGGTTTTAAATTTTATAAAACCACCAGATTTCATGGGCTCTGCATCAGTCATTAATGACATTCCTAACATTAATGCATTCGGAAGGATTTTCTTGCATGGTTCCTGCTAGACCCGGATTCATCCCTGTCCAGGGCACAAATACTCAGATCTAGAAGTGCTGGCAGTCAACTCTCAGCTGAAGACAGCCACCTGACCAGGGTCACATGGATACAGAAGCCCAGTCTGGCTATCCCAATTGAGGACAACTCCACAGGCCATCATACTCCTAGCTCCAGAACTCCTGGGGGATGGGCTGAAGCCTTTGGTGAGACTGCATCACATTCCAGCTCTGCCCTCAGCCTAATTCTGCTGCTTTCATTCCACCACAAAGTCTCATTCCAATGAACTTCTTCTTAATTTCCATCCATTTCAGAGTCCGTTCCCCAGAGAGCCTGACCTGCAGCCTGGCCATGCATTATAGTTAACTGCATGAGTCCTAAGCTCGAATGGAGTATCCCACACACTGCATGGCACACAGCAGGGATTCAAAAACACTTGAGAAATTAAATGAAAAGAAGAGGTAAAAAAATTACTTTCTTAAATTTGTTGGTTTCAGGACCCCTTTAATATGCTTAAATATTAAGGCTATCAAAGAGCATTTGTTTTTCTGAGTTATGTCTATATCATTTATTGTATTAGATATTAAAACCAAGAAATTTTTAATATGTTGATTCATTTAAAAATAAAATACTACGTTACCATAAATAACATTCTTTAAAAAACCCCGTATTTTCCAAACCAAAAGTAATTTTGTGAGAAGAGTGGCATTGCTTTACATTTTTACAAATCTCTTTAATGCCTGGCTTAATAGAAGACAGCTGAATTCTTAAATATGTCTTTGCATTCAATCTGTTGCAATGTGTTCTTTTGGTTGAAGTAAGTGATCTAGCCTCACACAGATACATAGTAATTTAATTGCCTTTTCAGATAATTATGGATATTCTCCTTTAATGCCATACCAAAAGTCAACAAGTAGAGTTTCTTAAAGGTTAGCTGCACAGTGGACTCTGAATCATTACCACTGAATTTTTTGTACCCTGCCACATTAAAACCTAATGGTCTGTCTAGTACTTTGACTAAATCTTTTTACTCATGCATGATTTTGTAAGATCATACTGAATTAAGATCCTCAAAGTGTTAGTTAACACATCTCTATATACAATACCAAAAAGTCAAATTCATTAATTATAGCCACAAATCTCATCAGAAAAGTCTTAAGTATTAGAAAGCTGTCAAGCTCACAGTGGCCGTACGAGTTTTCCAAAATTTCTATTTTAGCTTAAAATCTTGAATTTTATCATTATAGCAAAAGATACTGTCAGTTGCTTTCCTTGATGTGATAGGTTCACTCTGTTCATTTGAAAAAAAGTCTGCCAAAGACCTGAGTGTGAATAACTATAGTTTGTTTTTTAGTGATTCTTTCAAGTAAAAACTGTATTTCATGAAAAAAGCAACTAGTTTATTAGCTTTCTCTTGAGACAATCATCATACTTTGGCATAAAGCTGAAGTGTTTTATATAAACTTCCTATTCTGTGCCAGAGAATGTTAAAAAGACATGTACTGTAAGGTCAAGATTTAATAAAACTAATCATTTTTAATGTTTTGTCAAGAACATTCGTGAGTAAAACTAGCATGCCTTAAACTACA